CGTCATCACTAGTGTTACTGATCATGAAAAAGTTAAAACACATGAAATAACTCTGAAGTAACTAAAAATGACGAGGTTATATGAGAATAAATTTTCCCCAGCAACGGCTCGAAAAGATCGGTTAATGGGCCCTTAAGCAAGTAACAGATTCATGTTGAGGGCTACCACGAAAATTATGTGACGCAGTGTGGTGTATTGCAGTGTAGTGAACTCATATATCAAACACGAGAGACAGTGTTTCATCGGGATATCCAAACAACGAGAAGAGAGTTGAAAATACGACGCGGAGCGGAGTATTTTTTGACGAAATTCGAAGTGTTTGGATAGCCGATAAAACACGGTCTCGAGTGTTTGATATATCTTGTCAATCGAAACAAAAACTAAGAGGTAACCGGAGAATTAAAATCGTCAAAATCTATGTTAATTAAGACTGGATATCCAAACCTCCTTCACGGTTGTGATTTTCTTTGGTTTAACTTGATGAATCGTTAATGAGTTTTAGAAGTCAAGTAAAAGCAACCTTTGTTTTCGTTGAAGTTTCATTTGCTTTTCTGTAGCTGGGAGAAGGCCAGGTTACACAGAAGGACGTCACAGAGATACATCAGCCCGCGGACGGAGCGCATCTCAAATGTCCAGCAGTTTCATTATGGATTCAGATGAGGAGGAATTGTCTGCATCAAGATCACCCAGTGATGTCCTGGCTTACAAAGAAGTAAGTGATTTGTGGAAACGCTTTACAATTGTACTTGTGAGCGGTGGCCTCATGCGCTCGACTCCTGATCGAGCAGTCCGGGTTCGAGCCCTAACCGGGGACAATGTTGTGTGTTCTTGGGCAAGACATCTCACTCTCACAATGACTCTCTCCACTCAGGTGTATAATTGGGTACCGGCAAATTTAATGCTTGTGGTAACCCTGTGATGGACTAGCATCCCGTCCAGGGGGAAGTAGAAATACTACTAGTCACTTCATGCTAGAGAAACAGGGAAAAGGTCTGGCCTGATGGACCACTTAGCTCGTATACAGACTTTACTTACCTTTACCTGCAATCACTGGACTGTGTTTTACAACATCTACATGATATATTTTTCAGGAAATAAATGATTTTATGTATAGCTTTTGACGTTTTCAGCTCCGCGTTTCCGGTACGGGAACTTCTTGTCATCCGGGATATTGCTGTCCAGATTCCTAGGCGAGGAGATCTAGACAACACGCGAATTCTTTATCCCATGTAGATATTGCTAAATTTAGAAGCAGCAAGATACATAAGCCTTATTATTTGTTAGCGATGTTGAAGGATATTGTAACGAATTTACGGTCTTTTATTATTTGTCTTTTAATTGTGTTTGTAGCCGATCTGATACGCGTTCTGATTGGCTAACTGAGGGGCATTATTCTCCCGTGTTGCCCACGAGCCGATTACGGGCTTGCAAAGACAGAGCAAAAAGCCATATAATACACAGTTTATTAACCTCGACCGTTCGGTCTTTACGGAAAATTAAATCCTAAACCTCGACCTTGCCATATTGACCTCGCTATCAATAGAGCATGGTCTCGGTATGAGATTTTCCCGTAAAGACCTCACTCTCGGTTAATAAGTAGTTAGTATCCCATGGTAATGAAAACCAAAATATCATTTCTCACCAAAACTAAGACAAGTTTGACTGTCCAATATTTAACAATTAGACCCGTAGCCCGCAAGGGCTACGGGTCAATAGCCCGTGAGGCGAAGCCGAATGGGCTATTGACCCGTGGCCCTTGAGGGCGAAGGGTCTAATTGTTTTAGTATCATNATAGTCCCCTAGTAGCGTAGCCAATCAAAATGCAGGATTTGCATTAGTCCACCAGTTGGGTGATACTAATAACCGATAGTATTCGGGATCTATAACGGTTAAAGCATCTTCAGTTCTCCCTTGGGATTCTTCAGATTTCCTCAGCAATCTTCCGCTCTCTGTGGACATGTTCATCAAGTTAAGTTTTTGGAAAATAGTCGGAAACGAGGAATGGAAGAGTGCCAAAGCATTGGCATGGTATTTGTATCATTTTTGGAAAGAACTAGTATTAAACCTCCTCGTGTAGATAAAATGGACACGGAAAAATCCCCCCTGTTCCATAGAAAACCATAACATAACTAATAATCATGCTATGTAAGACAACCAACTATGAGCTTTTTCTATTCTAGTCACAAAGTCGTCGACGTTCTCGACAAATAAACAAAGCTGTGAAAAACAGATCAGGGCAACCTGACACTCCCTTCCAGAGACTGGGGCGACATCCCATGACCGCACCCAGTAACAGCTCGTCGTTTTTTGGCTACGATGGCGATTCTGATGAAGAAACCTGGGGGCGAGGGGGGCTCATGTCTAGAGTGGGTTCCAGTCGCGCTCGTGTGTCGGATTCGGGTGCATCGTACATGTCTGAATTGGCACGTGGAGGGCACGTGACAGACTCGCAATCCTCCATGTTTCGCAAGTACAGTAGGACAGCGGGTAGTGCTGGTGCCCGAAAGGATGTGTCTTTCTCGAGTGAGTACTGTTTAATACATATAGCTTATTATTAACTTAGACTCAGTAACCCCTTGACCTCAGCCTCCTGGACTGAATTAAGCTTCTGAGTGTAAGATCAGATTAAAACAACCCACTTTTCTGGCGTCGGAACCAAAGTAATCGCCCTAACCAATCACAAAAGACACAGGCAATCCAGTGAACCAATCAAAACTCGAAGTAATATTACATGAGGCGAACGAGTCACGAGTGGTTTTGGTTTTACTTCTGATTGGATGAAAAATTGTCGCGAGCTTTTTTTAGCCAATCGTGTAACGTAGTAAATGCAAAACCAATTCCTTTTCGACACTTAAATTTAGTTAACGAACCATAAAATAAAAACGAGCTGACTTACCTTCCCTTGGACTCAGTACTTGAAATAGTTCGTCGAGATGGCAATTGCCAGGCGTGCTGTTTGAATTTTTCTATCCTCCAGATAAACCAGTTTCCAAAATATAACGTAATGAGAGAGAATTTACGCTTTTAATGGGCAAATGTATAATTCCTACTGAAGAATTTACAGTACGTTTGTATGTTTTTGTTTTTTATATGAGACTGCGCTGGTGAATTGAGAGACTGGCTGAACGGTCAGAAACGCCTCTCCCCTGTCCTCTGTTAAAGGACTCCCCACGGGCTGCGACTTTTTGTTCATTTTACTCAATAAACTGGGCGCTTACTAAGTTCGATTAAGCTAAGGTACTGAACAGCCTTGTGCTTTACAGATTTAGAGGACCAGTTGTCTTACGGTTTCCTTGGTAACGATGAAAGTATTTGTGACTTAGAAGACGGTCAATCCTTTGCCAGGCCTAACAGAGCACGCCGCCAAAGTAAACTGAAAGAAAAGGGAGACGGAGTCAAGAGGCCTGGGAAGTACTACCACAGCAAAGTGATTGACGACATGGGTCAAGCGACGGCATCATTTGCTGACACTAACATGACGTATGGGTCGAAACAGAGGCTGAGCCAAGCGCGTGTCTCTTTGATTGATGCTAATATTCCTTCACCCTGTGACTCAACACTTGTGATAAAGCGATCTGTAGTTGTTCGTCCTGCTTCTGTAAAGGAATCTTCGCAGAAAAAGAAAGAAGAAACAGAAAAAGAGTTCTTGCAAACAGAGTTTCTGCC